TGCCATCCCAATTTTTTAAATCAACCCATTAAGTGGTTGTCTACATAGCTATTTGTAGCTTTAAAGCATGCTTTAATGCAATAAATTTTACCCAAAAATTTTGTTCGTCCAAATTTTAAAATGGTAGTCACCAACTAATTCACTCATATACATTTCCGTAGATGGCTTTTAAATTGGGCATGCTGAACTCTGAGCGACTCTTATTGAGAGAGTTCCACTTTCAAGCAAATGAAGAATTGATGAGATATTTACACGTAGTTGTGGCTCTATTTTCTGGAATCTTGTCTGGAGTTCTCAATTGCTCAATCAACGAATTTTCCAATAAAATAACAAAAGACGAAGTAAAATTTTCATCAAAAAGTTAATGATTTCTTATATTTTATTTGACTTTTAATAGCAGAACCAGCATTGCTTGCATGAATAAAATCCCTTAAGTTGAAATGTGTGCTTTCAAGTGCTTTGTAACGTTGCTGCCCTCCCAAGATGTTTTATACAGCACAGAAAATTTGCTTGAACAGAACGGGCATGAAAATACACATTTCCACTTAGCGTTGTTTTTTACGTGTTGATGAAAATCTTGAATATTAGATTCAGAAATCGTATCGTCGGGATAATCATTTTCATTCGGACTATTTTTGCGTAAGTAATTCGTCATCTTTGTTATCAATTCTTTCTTGAGTTGTTCGCCAGATGCAGCAACCTTGGTTTGCTTGGATTTTTGCAGTTCCTCCATTTGTTTTGAGATATCCAATATAATTTCTTTATGGCCGGGGAGGAATTCAAAAACTTCCAGCTGTTTGTAGTAATCGCTGTAGCAGCAATTTAATTGACTTATAAATTGCTTATTTTGGTTCAAAAAAATTTCTGTTCTTTTTATTTTTATCTCATCAAATTTTGCCAAGCTCATCATCGAAGTATATCCTGCATGCGTTAGCAGCGATTTGATGCAGTTTGGAACAGGTTGCTGATTTAATTCTTCCAAATCGTTCCACAATGACTAAAATACATATTTAAAAGTATAAAAAAAAGTTTCTTCTTTTCTTTGACTGCGATAAAATATTTACCATAATTATATTAATAAAAACGTAAACAATTTTTTTAAATACTGAGGAAGTGTAACTGAAAATTTCAAATTGAACAGTGCGCTCTTCTTTGACGTTTGTACACACTTGTCATGACATTTCTATTACGTATTGAAGACTATTTTGAATTGAGACAGTGACGGTTTTGCAGCATGAGTCAGTTCAATTTAAACGGTTTAAAAATATATTTTTAATATACATGCATAAAATATTCCATTAAATCATTGTATAAATATTTCGAAATTCATATATTCAGCGCTTCAAACACAATATAGAAGAAACAAAATATAGAGTTTCATACATGGCAAACGTAGACAAAGCGTGCTGCAGATTTGTAGTTCCTGCGAGTTTTAACAATGGGCCCAAAAGTTCTGTGAGTTAATGAATCGCCCCATGATTTATATCAATTGATTCTCAGTGTAACTTGAGTTGGTGATGAGGAGTTCAATTTATAGTGTGTGCCATGTCGATATTGCAGACTTTGGAAATACGTATTCATGTACGTATGTAACTTTTAGCAACTCACAGCAACTCACAGCAACTTCTGAATGAATCACCCCATGGCTCCGGTCTATGATTTGTCATTTTGCAGAAATTGCACGGTATCCTGCTGTTGTTGTTTTGAGCGTTGTTATTGTTTTTGTTGTTATCACCCTTATTATTGTTGTTATTCTTATTATTGTTGTTGTTGTTATTTTTGTTAAAATTGTTGTTGTTATTGTTTTTATTGATTTGTTTTTGTTCATTTGATTGATCTTTAGCGACATTCGATAATTGCATTTGCTCTTGTTTTTCTGTGGCGTGTGCGACTGCCTCATACAAGCTTCTGTGATCCGCACTGAGTGCCATTGTACGCGTTCTTTCATCGTATATATTTTGCTTAAATTTCCGTACTGCTAACTCCTCGTTCATTTCAGCTTTCACGGCTTGTATAGCCGCGTCTTCGCCTGACGATGTTAAATTCAGCATGTCCAACAGTTTTTTCACCCGTTCGGCATATGCATCTATCGATTCTTTCTGTCCCTGTCTGATCGATAACAGTCTCTCTTGAGCTGTTTCATATGTCATCGTCAATTTATATTTTTCACGCATTTTTGTTTTTATTTGCTCCCACGTGTCATTCGTTGTATTGCCCAGCTTATGTGCCGTTGTTAGTCGTGTTTTTATTATTCGCAGCACTGTAGGCCTTTGGCCTGCCTCACTCAGGTCGTAAATGAGGTCGCTTTCCGCAATAAATTGCAATATTCCATCATGAGTTTCTATGAATTTGGGAATACCCTTCATAATGCTGTTCAACGATAAAGCCATTTCGTCGCCTTCTTGCTCAGAATCCGAAGAATTAAAATGATTGTTCCTATTGTTATTGTTATTATTATTATTATTGTTGTTATTATTGTTGTTATTTCTACCGTTTTCAGGATTCGAAGCGTCGTTATTACGATCGTTGTTATTGTTGTTGTTAATATTATTGTTGTTGTTTGGCGGCTGTTGGCTTTGAGTCAAATTATTCGCTGTTGGATCTGTCGCGTTTTCCGGATTACCATTCGCCGTGTCTGTTGTTTTATCCGCTTCCGTCGGTTCTTTATTTGTTACTTTAATCAGCTGATCGTCTGATTTCCCGTCAGTTTTTTCCCTCTCTACCGATAAGTTACCGATGGATTTGTCTGTCAAAACCGAATATGTCTCTTCGGCTGCTTCAAACGGATCGAAATGATAATGATCGACAACTGAACCGCCGTGGTGCGACTGTGTAATTCGATTTGGATCTAAAAATTGACTCTGTGCGTCTAAACCAGCAGCTCCGTCAAGCCAAGTCTCGTTCAAATTTACTTGTACTGGACTTCTGTTGAAAATAAATGTTGAGGACGATTCGGGCGCGCTAAATGTTAGCGATCTACGGCCTGTGGTCAAATCATGAACCGCACGATCTTCTATCGTTTTTAAATTTTTTTCCAAGTCCAACAAATGAGATAAATAGCCCGAATCGCTCTGTTTTTTATTATCGTTTTTCTTTGGCGGTGGCGTTCGTTGCATTGAGGAGTCGAATTCGAAAAGTGCAAATGCCAAATTCGATTTTATGCTATGTGTGTTTAATTGTTTTTTTTTTTTTTAACGAGCCGGACGAAAACGAAAAGGTATGAGGAACAAATTCGGTTGTGCTTGCTGACTACTGAATTATATATTTAATTGCACCATTTGATTTTAGCCGAGTGTAAATAATAGAAATCAACCAAAAAATGAACACTTCACTTTAAAAACATGCAAATCAGTACTCACCTAACGACCTATCCCAACAATTAGCTCGTACTCGATTCTGATATTCTGCTGTCTCCAAGTTGGTGTCCAGTTACTCGTCTTCCGCCGCTGTTCGTTCCCACACTTGGCCGCTTTCGTTCGTTTTTATGCTTCACCTCCGCTTTGCTTATGTTCTTCTTTGGGTCCCTTCGCTCGCTCTTCGTGGCTTACTGCACGTGTCTTTGCAACGTGCGGTTTTTTTCCTCGGTTTTGTTCTGTGTATGGAATTCGCGTGTGTCTTTTTTTCTTGCTTCTTCACATACACGAATGGAATTTGCTCGATGGTTTTTTTTTTCTCTCCGATATTCAAGTGTATGAATGGATTTTGCCCGATGTATTTTTCTATTCACTTTTTCGGTGCGTGAGTGGATTTTGATCTATGTTTTTCTATTATGCACTGTTTTGGTACACGAATAGTTTTTGCGTGATGATGATTTTTTATCACAAATCGCTCACTTGATTTCTCTGTGCACTTTCACTGACACGTGGAACTTTGATTTTTTCTTTTTCCTTCTTTTTTTCGGTTTCTATTGGTCTACGATTCCGCTATTTTTTTCGATGTTGTGAGTCTTTCGTTTGTTGCAGCGCCAATTTAAGGGTGTTCTGATCGTTACCTTTTTTATTTGGATCCGTAGCTCTTATCTTTGGATCCGTAGCTAAAGGTAGGGTAGAATATTCGATAATTAGACACGTCGGGTTTGCTGGTAACAATTAGACTGATTCTCTTTATTCGGTATTCGTTTGTTATACATGCGGTCGCCGCTCGTGCGGCGACGTCGTGCGCTTATATTCCCGTATAGGCGCACGAGTCAGTGCACTCGCTACAGAGTATCATTTTTTTGAACTTCATTTTTTCGTGTACGGGCGGGCAGACGGGCATACCCAGTATAATTAAGTGTTTAATATGGAAATCTATTCAAAACTATGAGCTGTCCTTCTTATTTTAATCAAAATATGGCCTCCATTAGCTTTTTATGAACACAAACATGTGATATGAATGCCTTCAAGGCAATTGTTATAAATAATGACTTTTTTCGATGTATTATTTTTTAAAACGTCATTTTTTCGTGTACGGGCGGGCGGGCGTGCAGACGGGCATACCCGGTATAATTAAGTGTTTCATATGAAAATCTATTCAAAACTATGAGCTG